CTAAGATACCAGGTAGACACCATCCATGGCTGAACCACCATATGGTATACAATGTTTATTTTTCCTTCACATACAAATTTTTGTTTTTACTGAAGTTAAAAATTGCCTCATCTTGCTGGACGCCATGGCCTATGCCTGTAATCCCAGCACTGTGGGAGGCTGAGGTAGGTGGATCATCTGAGGTCAGGAGTTCAAGACCGGCCTGGCTAACATGGTGAAACTCTGTCTCTACTAAAAATACGAAAATTAGCTGGATGTGGGGGTGGGCGCCTGTAATCTCAGCTACTCGGGAGGCTGAGGGAGGAGAATTGCTTGAACCCAGGGGGTGGAGGTTGCAGTGATCTGAGATTGCACCACTGCATTCCAGCCTGGGTGATACAGTGAGACTCTGCCTCAAAAAAAAAAAAAAAAATTGCCTCATGTTTATTTGCTGAGTTTTCTCTGCACTGATTCCTAATTCATCATACAATTTAAATCCACTCTCAGTACTTGCCAACATTCCGGAGTTTCTCTTTCCTGGGGCATCTTCCCAGAGCTTGTGTCCTGCTCCCACCTGGCCTCAGAGGACAGGCGCCCTGGGGGCCCACCCCTTACTGCTGGATTCCATCTTTCCTTCTCTTAGCTTACTTCATCTTTGTGATTCCGGAGAAAGGTACATGGGAGGAGGTCGTTTTTGAGACTTTGCACGTCTGAAAACTTCTTTAGGCTTCCTCACTCTGCATTGTGTTTGAACAGGGATGCAACTGAGGGAGAAGATCCTCTTTCCTTAAAAATGTCCCCGTCGTTCCAGAGCTCCCTGTGAGATTGGCCGCCAAGCTCACTCTGGATCCTCTGAACGCAGTCTGCTGCTCCCTCACGGTGGGTGTGGAGGGGCGTGGAGGGCTTCTCTGAAGCCGTACGCCTCGTGGGCCTTGCCATGATCTCTTCGTGGCCAGGCTGACCACTCCACGGGCCTTTCAACATGGAGACACAAATCTCAATTTTGGGAGCTTTCTTGGATAATTTGTTCTCTCCTTCTGGGATACGATGAATCAGACATTGGGTCTCCTGAGACTGCTTCCTTTCTTGTCTAACTTTACATCTTTCTCTGTTTTTCTCAGCATCCTGGGATGTCAACTCAATTTTTTTATCCCTTCTTTGAAATTATTGTTTTCAATGTCCAAGATCTTTCTTATTTTGTGATTGTGAGGTTCTGTTTCAAGTCATGGCCGTGGAGTCCTATAGATAACAACCATCACTACTGAAGAAACTAGACAAAGCAACAACCTGGCCAGCTGCGGGGCTCACGCCTATAATCCCAGCACTATGGGAGGCTGAGGCAGACAATCACCTGAAGTCAGGAGTTCGAGACCAGCCTGACCAACAGGGTGAAACCCTGTCTCTATTAAAAATACAAAAATTAGCCTGGCATGATGGCAGGCACCTATAATCCCAGCTACTCGGAAGGCTGAGGCAGGAGAATCACTTGAATACGGGAGGCGGAGGTTGCAGTGAGCCAAGATCCTGCCATTATACTCCAGCCTGGGCAAAAAAGAGTGAAATTTTGTCTCAAAAGAAAAGAAAAGAGAAAGAAACGACCCAAAAACACTTGGGCAAGGACTGACTGAAGGGGAGAGGGCCTCCTTGTTACCTGCCACTTCGGCATCAAAACTTGCAGTGTTTGTATAGTTTGGAGTTGCTGCTGGCCAATTTCCAGACCAGGCAGAAAGAACAGACCTGAAAATTAACCTATCGCAGAAGAAAGCAGGAACAGGGTGTGTGCAGGGAGAAAGAACAATACGGAGAGAATCCTGATGGTATCGTGCAGACACCAGGATCCAGCCATGCCTGAAACCACACCCACCCTCCACCTGCCAGCTATGTGAGCCAGTACATTCTCCTTTGCTTCAGCTATTTTGAGTTCATTTTTCTGTTTGCACCAAAATGTCTGATAGAAAACCCACAAAGCACAATGACTGGAGAGACAGAGAGAGAACATCTGACCCCTCAGACTGGGAAAAGTTACAAAGGATGCATTTTCACATCTTCCCAAAGCGAAGTACAATGACCTCCACATCCTGAACTTCACTAACGGTTCACAAGAACTTAAAATCTAACTCAATGATAATGATTTCATTATTCAGCATCATGACCAAAACTGAACTCAGTGATTTCTTCAACTGGCAGTTCCTATTACAGCAGCCCTGATGCACACCCCACACCCCCAACCTGCCTGGCAAATGACCAGCTTGGAGAGGACAGTGACAGCCGCCTGTCTGACGCAGTCTCCGCCAAGTGCTGGCTTCCTTCAGAGCAGTGCTCCAGCCTTTCTCCCAAATCGATTCTGCTCCCATACATGGCATGCTCCCTTTACCCCAGAATTCAGAACAAGGGGCCCGGCAGGTAGTGCCTTAGCCAGGGGGGTGCCATAATAAAAACGCCACAAACTGGCCAGGCGGGCGAGGTGGCTCATGCCTGTGATCCCAGCACTTTGGGAGGCTGAGGCAGGTGGATCACCTGAGGGAAAGAGAGAGAGAGAGAAAGAGGAAGGGAGAGAGGGACAGAGGGACAGAGGGAGAGAAGAGAGGACAGGACAAAAGAACAGAAAGCTAGAGAGTGAAAGAAACAAAATACTATCAGCTAGGCAGCTCCCAAACAATAGAAACTTATCACTGTTTTGGGGGCTGGAAGTTCTAGACTGGGGTCCAGGCAGAGTATGTGTCTGATGAGGACCACATCCTGGGCCATGGAGACACTTCACATGCCCTCCCATAGCTGGTGGGTGAGGGAGCTCTTGGAGGTTTCTTTCTTTCTTTTTTTTTTTTTTTTTGAGATGGAGTCTTGCTCTGTCACCCAGACTGAAGTGTAATTGCGCGATCTTGGCTCACTGCAACCTCCACCTCCCAGGTTCAAGCAATTCTCGTGCCTCAGCCTCCTGAATAGCTAGGATTACGGGCATGTGCCATCATGATTGGCTAAGTTTTGTATTTTTAGTAGACATGGGGTTTCACAGTGTTGGCCAGGATGGTCTCGATCTCTTGACGTCATGATCCACCCACGCTGGGATTATAAGCATGAGTCACTGCGCCTGGCCAGTAGCCTACTAATTTAAACAATTAATGTTGAGCTATCTCTGAATTAATACCTGAACTAAAAGCTGAATTTCCAAGTCCCAGGTTCTTAGCCCGACATAAAAGCTAATTGCAATGAGATTCCCTACAGAAAAAGTTAAAACCAATGAATGGTTCCTCCCGTCCCCATAGGGCAGAAAGCATTCAAGCCAGGCTGCTTCCAGGAAGTGCCTGGTGCCACCCATCCTAGAGCGGCCAGCTCAGCCCACTCTTGCCCAACCCTGATGCACCCGCCTTGCCACAGGTCCGAGGCCTAGAGGCACTACGTGTGGCTCCCCATCAGCCCTGACGCTGTTTCTCTGTCCCTGTGGACTCAGCCTCTCCCAGTGGGAACCCTGTCTTCCCGTGTCCACCTTCTATCCCTCACCCAACACCCCTCTCCAGGGCCAACACCCAAACATCTGGGACTTCCAGGGGCAGGTGGCCTGGCCCAAGGGAGTTCCTGCATCCTCTTTGCTTAGGACACCTGAAGTCCGCTGGAACCCCCGGCTTGGGCCCTCTGACCCTACATGAGCGCACTCTGTGATGATGTGGAGCTGCGCCCGCCCCACCTCCGCAGCTGGACTGGGGCCCCTTCTCCATCCTGCCCAGAACACCTGGATGCTGGCCCAGCGAGCAATGGCCAATCTCATAGCAAGTCTTTATTTTTTCTCTAAAATCAATGCCATTCCAAAGACAAACCCTCTAACGCAGCCACATCTGCTGAGAGAAAACCTCCACTCACACCTTCCTAGCGACATTCAAATCCCATTTGCAAGAAGACTCTCCTTTCCATAGACCCACGGACTGAGCCACCACTCACACCTTCCTAGTCACATTCAAATCCATTTGTGAGAAGACTCTCCTTTCCACAGACCCATGGACTGAGCCACAACTCACACCTTCCTAGCCACGTTCAAATTCCACTTGTGAGAAGACTCTTCTTTCCACAGACCCACAGACTGAGCCACCACTCACACCTTCCTGGCCACATTCAAATCCCATTTGTGAGAAGACTCTCCTTTCCACAGACCCATGGACTGAGCCACAACTCACACCTTCCTAGCCACGTTCAAATTCCACTTGTGAGAAGACTCTTCTTTCCACAGACCCACAGACTGAGCCACCACTCACACCTTCCTGGCCACATTCAAATCCCATTTGTGAGAAGACTCTCCTTTCCACAGACCCATGGACTGAGCCACAACTCACACCTTCCTAGCCACGTTCAAATCCCATTTGTGAGAAGACTCTCCTTTCCACAGACCCACGGACTGAGCCACCACTCACACCTTCCTAGCCACGTTCAAATCCCATTTGTGAGAAGACTCTCCTTTCCACAGACCCACGGACTGAGCCACAACTCACACCTTCCTAGCCACGTTCAAATCCCATTTGTGAGAAGACTCTCCTTTCCACAGACCCACGGACTGAGCCACCACTCACACCTTCCTAGCCACGTTCAAATCCCATTTGTGAGAAGACTGTCCTTTCCACAGACCCACGGACTGAGCCACCACTCACACCTTCCTAGCCACGTTCAAATCCCATTTGTGAGAAGACTGTCCTTTCCACAGACCCACGGACTGAGCCACCACTCACACCTTCCTAGCCACGTTCAAATCCCATTTGTGAGAAGACTGTCCTTTCCACAGACCCACGGACTGAGCCACCACTCACACCTTCCTAGCCACGTTCAAATCCCATTTGTGAGAAGACTGTCCTTTCCACAGACCCATGGACTGAGCCACTTGACTCCATTCTCTGCGGAGTTTTATGTTATCTCCCATCTGTGTGTTTCTCCCTCTCTGTGTTACATTTGGGTCACAAGAAGCTCACGTTTTTGACATCAGTAGTGTTAGCATTAGGATAATACAATTCAAGCTCACTGAACTCAGCTGATTCACTTACCATGTCCTCTGTCCATCAAAATATGATAAAGAAACACAGAGCTTCCAGAACAAAGTCCATGAGTTCCCTGAGTGAGTCAGAACACAGGCACAAAAAGAGGTAATTTTAACCTTCTTAAAAAAACAGCAGAAAGGGGGAGTCAAACGCCACGCCATTCTCTACACTGCAGCTGCGTAGCGAGTAAATATTTTCGGCATCTGTTTTAAGTCATTTACCACCTGCTTAATTCTATTTTAGTGAGTGACGCAATTGCCTTCACAGGAGAGAATCTCGTGATGGCGCAAATATTGAGTCAACATGATTTACAGACACATTCATCTCTGAGCTCAGCTTTTGAGAAATCCTTCTTGCATTGAGCTAAAATACCAGAAAGCAGACTGGTGGTCACCGGGGCAGGAGGATGGGGAGGGGAGGGGTGTGCAAGGACCACTGGATGGCACGGGGTTCCTAGAAGCGGTCAGTGGTGACACCACACAGTGTGGCATGTGATTAAATGAACTTTCACCGTGAACTTTCACACGGGCGCTGTAAAATGCTCATGTCTGATTTGAATGTGTGGTTTCCGTGAAAGCAGCACCTTTCTGCACAATTGGGAGCAGCTCCTGCTCGCTGGCTCTCACAGGCTCAAGTCAGTTTTCAAAGCTCCCACAGCCGGATGGCCTGTCTCGGGGCTGCGCTCAGCTCTCTAGGCCACCCTCGGTCCAGGACATGCCGCTCACTTTCTTGGCTCTCCCAGGCCAGCAGCCAGGAACCTGTGTTTTATTTTTGGCAGAAATCCTGCTCTCAATAGCACCTCGAGGCTCATGGGTCTCAGAAGGAACCCCTGCATCCTTGCTGGGACAGAGCTTTATTTTCATCTTTTCTGGAACAGCAGAAGCTGCGTCTGGGGAGGAAAGAAGGCCCTCCCTGGAACCAAACACACGGGATGCCTGTGGCTGTGGCACAGAGGCGCAAGGGGGCTCCCATCCCAGAGCCCACCAGCAACCACCTTCTCCAGCGGCCTGAAGGGCTCCACAGCCCTACTTTATGTTACATTTCCTTTGTCTCAGGACATCAAACTCCCAAAGGGTGAAGCCTGGGACCAGCATCAAGCTGGACAAGTGCTGCAGAGGCCACGCCAAGCCTGCACGGACACCTGCAGTACTGCGGGGTCACCGAGCACAGGGCAGGGGAGGCCCCCACCAAGCACAGGGCAGGGGCGGCCTCCACCGAGCACAGGGGAAGGGCGGCCTCCACCGAGCACAGGGCAGGGGCGGCCTCAACAGAGCTGTCACCACCACAGGACACCTGCAAACACGAAGGAACAGGGCCCAGAAGCGGTGTTCTGGAGTGTGGTAGCTGCTGCCCAAGCAGGCTGGGGGTGAACAGAGCCATGGGAGGCCCATGAAAGGACATTGTCTTGGAAAAGAGGGATTGAGGCAGCCACAGTGGCTCTAGGAGGGACAGAGGGGCCAGAGCCCAGAGCTCCCCGCTATGCTCAGCCTGCCCCTCACCACCCCTCGGAGGGGTGGATTCCCTGAGGCTGGTTGCGGGGCTGGACATTTTGTGACCACAACCCCCAGAGCCTGAGAGAAGGGGGCAGCTGTCCTCAGGTGGCCCATCCTGCTCAGACAGGAGGCCTGGCGGGACTCGTGGTGGGCCAGCTCAGGTGGGCCAGGCTCTCAGGGTGCGGTGCCCTCTTTCACAGAGGTCTCATACGGCTCCGCACCCCATACTAGGGCCTGGGTCTCTCCTGGGTTCCCACACACCTACAGGAGTGGCCATGGGATCCAGTCCTGCCCCGGTCATGTGTCCCAGGCAGAAGCCCCACCCTCCATGGCCACCACTTGCCCAAGCGGGTGGGGGTTCTGGGTGGGGCTGCTCAGGGGACAGCACAGCAGTTCCCACCATGTGGAAGTTTCTCAGCTCAAAGGCCTGGCTGGAGGCTGGGGAGGGAGGTTTCCAGGAGGCCACCCACACAAGGCTGCCTGACACTCTGCTTCTGAAGTTGAAACATATTGCATATGAAAAAGTTTATTTAAAATCAAGTCATTTGGGAGAACGATCCAAGATGGCCAATCGTAACAGCTCAGGATTGCAGCTCTCAGTCAAAGCGCAGAGAACTAGAGGACGCCACACTTTCAGAAAAATTCTGGTCGCTCACGGAGCAGAAGATCCCCAGTGGAGGAACCACACGGGTCGCCAGCGTGACTCTTGTGGCCAGCGTAGCGGTTTCGCTGGTACCTCAGCGTGGCAGCTCTTGGAGCAGAGTAAACAGGACTGGCTCCCCTTCTGACTGAGGCTTGGAGGACCCACACGGGTCGCCAGCGCGACTCTTGTGGCTGGCGCAGCGGCTTCGCTGGCACCTCGGCGTGGCAGCTCTCGGAGCAGAGTAAACAGGGCCGGCTCCCCTTCTGACCGAGGTTTGGAGGACCCACACGGGTCCCCAGCATGACTCCTGAGACCGGCGCAGCAGCTGTGACGGCACCTCAGTGCGGCAGCTCTCGGCGCAGAGTAAACGAGACTGGTTCCCCTTCTGACCGAGGTTTGGAGCCCCGGGAAGGCAGAGTCGCCCATTACGGACACAAGAAGGAAGCCCGACAGGAGAATCCTGGGCAGAAAAGCACCATCAGTCTTAACTCCACCGTTCTGGCCCTGGGAACTAACAACTTGGACGTCCACTCAAGAGAACTAATCTGAAAGTGGGTAATTTCAAAGACAACAGGAGGATAAATTTACAATGATGGGAAGAAACCAGCGTAAAAAGGCTGAGAATACTCAAAATCAGAACGCCTCTCCCTCTAAAGATGATCACAGTTCCACATCAACAATGGAACAAGGCTTGATGGAGAAAGAGCTCATCCCAATGACAGAATCACTTTTCAGGGAATGGATAATAAGAAACTTCTGTGAGTTAAAAAAACATGCTGTAGCCCAACATAAAGAAACTAGGAACTTTGAAAAAAGGTTTGACAAAATCCTATTGAGAATAGACAACTTAGAGAGGAATATAAGTGAATTAATGGAACTGAAGAATACAATACAGGAACTCCGAGAAGTATGCACAGGTTTAAACACTCGAATTGTTCAAGCAGAAGAAAGGATAACAGAGGTCAAAGGCCAACTTAATGAAAGAAAACAAGAAGACAAGATTAGAGATAAAAGGATAAAAGGAATGAGCAAAGTCTCCAAGAAATGTGGGACTATGTGAAAAGACCAAATTTATGTTTGATAGGTGTACCTGAATGAGACGGAGAGAATGAATCCAAGCTGGGAAATACTCTTCAGGATATTATTCAGGAAAATTTTCCTGAACTAGCAAAGCAGGTCAACATTCAACCCCAGGTAATACAGAGAACACCACAAAGATATTCCTCAAGAAGAGCAACCCCAAGGCACATAATTGTTAGATTCACCAGGGTTGAAACGAAGGAGAAAATACTAAGGGCAGCCAGAGAGAAAGGTCAGGTTACCCACAAAGGCAAGCCTATCAGACTTACAGCAGATCTCTCAGCAGAAATTCTACAAGCCAGAAGAGAGTGGGGGCCAATATTCAACATCCTCAAAGAACAGAACCTTCAGCCCAGAATTTCATATCCAGCCAAACTAAGCTTTACAACTGAAGGAAAAATAAAATCTTTTATGAACAAGCAAGTACTCAGAGATTTTATTACCACCAGGCCTGCTTTACAAGAGCTTCTGAAAGAGGCATTACACACAGAAAGAAACAACCAGTATTAGCCTTACTAAAAATATACCAAGAAGTAAAGAGTACCAACATAAAGAAGAATTTATATCAACGAATGGATCAAACAGCCAGTTAACATCAAATGGCAGTAACCCTAAATTTAAATCAACTAAATCCCCCAATCAAAAGACACAGCCAAAACCCAACGGCATGTTACATCCCGACTTGTTTCACATGCAAGGATACACAAAGACTCAAAACAAAGGAATAGAGAAAGATTTACCAACCAAATGGAGAGCAAAAATAAATAAATAAATAAATAAATAAATAAATAAAAAGCAGGAGTTGCAATTCTCGTAGCGGATAAAATACATTTTAAAGCAACAAAGATATAGTGGTAAAAGGATCAATACAACAACAAGAGCTAACGATCCTAACACCCAGATACGAGACTTAGATTCAATGAGACAGAAAATTAATAAGGATATCAAGGACTCGAACTCAGACCTGGAACAAGTAAACTTAATAAATATTTATAGAGCTCTCCACTTCAAATACATAAAATATACATTCTTGTCAATACCACATCACACCTACTCATAGGTTTAAATGAAACATTGATTGGTCATTATTAATACCCATTTTTTTTTTTCAGAATAAAGCAATTATTTCCATTCACCCTCCCTCTCTCTCTTCGTCTTTCTTTCTCTCCTTTACTCATTTTTTTTTTCTTTCCTTCTCTCAAAAAAAGAAACCAACTTGTAAACCTCTAGATCCAGGTGGGCAATGTCTCTCTCATTGCTTGAATTCCTTCCTTCCCTTTCCTCCCTCCCTCCCTTCCCCCTTCCTCCCTTCCTTCCTTCCTTCATCCCTTCCTCCCTCCCTCCCTTCCTGCCTTCCTCCCCTTCCTCCTTCTCTCCCTAAAAAAAAAAAAAAAAAAAAAAATCAAGTCATTCATGGTCGGCACTAAACATTTACCACCACAATCTCACCACCCACAGACAACCACCAGCATTTCAGTTAGTTAATATTTTGGTGTAATTCATTTCACTATTTATATATATACAGTTTTCTTTCTATATAGTAGCAATATTATGATGTATGTAATTTTAACATTTCTCATATGAAATATTGATACAAACTTTTAATTCTAACATATAATTTCTGGGCTGGGCACCGTGACTCCTGCCTGCAATCCCAGCACTTTGGGCGGATCATGAGGTCAGGATTTCAAAACCAGCCTGGCCAACATGGTGAACCACCGTCTCTACTACAAATAAAAAAAAATTAGCTAGTCTCATGTGGTGGCAGGCACCTGTAGTCCCAGCTACTTGGGAGGCTGAGGCAGGAGAATTGCTTGAACCCAGGAGGGGAAGTTTGCAATGAGCGGAGACTGTGGCATTGCTCTCAGCCTGGGCACCAGAGGAAGACTCTGCGTGTGTGTGTCTTTCTCTCTCTATAGATATATACACACATAAGATTTCTTTCCATTTTTTGGTAATGTTCATCAATTTTTCAGGGAAACAAAAAAATAAAATTGTAATAAACAAGTACTACGTGTACATATGCATATGTGTGTGATTGTATGTCTTTACATATAATTTGCATTTTTCCATAAATCAATGAAAGACACTGATTAAGTAATAATGTTAATTGTTAGAAGTAAAAAAATTAAAAATAGTAGATAAAAACTTTCTTATTTTCTTTTCTTCTCTAAAATTTCGCAAAATGATGTTTAAGAAAAAATTAGCTAAAAATGAAGACAAATATATCTGCTTCATATACATTGAACACAGCTGCCAAAACACTTCAGGTGGTAATATATTAACTCAAAAAACATGAGTCTTTGGTAAGTAAGTAATAAGTGAACTCTCCAACCCCCAACTCCTTAGTGAAGATTTGGCTAAAAATCAATTTATATAACTCTGTGACTGCTAGCTCTCCTAGGGAACATAAGTTACCTAAGGTAGGAAATATTACATTTCCAGACAAAAAGGCAAAAGTAATACCTCTGAAGAGTTAGAAGCAGCCATGTGGGAGGTCTCCTAATATAGGAAACAGCAGTTAACCACCAATGCAGCTGGACACTGTGTAGAAAAAAAAGCCCCTCTGCTTGGACGAGCAGAGCCTCACCCAGTGACCCAGGCCCTGGGTGGAACACAAGCATCTCAAGGTTCTGTGTGGAGGCTTTGGAGCCACCAGAACTGGGTTAAGATGGGGGATTTCTCTAGTATTGTGATTCCAATCATTAAAAGAACTTACTACACAATAAATTAAAAGTAAAAATGTAAAGTAAAAGAGATGAATCCATCAGTAAAAAAATATAACAAATTCAGCGATCTATTATCCCAGGAATGCAAGGTTGGTTCAACATTTGAAAATCTATCAGTGCAAGTTATCATGTTGATAAACCAAAAAAGAAAAATCCATATCATCTTGGTAAGGCAGCATTTGACAAAATCCAGTGCCTGTTCATGAAAGAAGCTCTCAGCAAACTAGAAATAGAAAGGAACTTCCTTAACCCAATAAAGTACATCCTAAAAACAGAACTCCAAAGCTAACATTTTACTTAATGGTAAACACAGAATCCTTTCCCCAGGAAAATGAAAAAATATTTTCTCCATGAAAACATCCACTCTTGGCCGGGCGCAGTGGCTCATGCCTCTAATCCCAGCACTTTGGGAGGCCGAGGCGGGTGGATCACAAGGTCAACAGTTTGAGACCATCCTGGTCAACATGGTGAAACCCTGTCTCTACTAAAAATACAAAAAAATTAGCTGGGTATGGTGGCACGTGCCTGTAATCCCAGCTACTCAGGAGGCTGAGGCAGAAGAATTGCCTGAACCCAGGAGGCGGAGGTTGCGGTGAGCCGAGATCATGCCATTATACTCCAGCCCAGGTAACAAAAGCGAAACTCCGTCTTAAAAAAAAAAACAAAAAAAAGAAAATATCCACTCTTACCTCTCCTATTCAAACATTTTGGAAGTTCTAACCAGTGAAATAAGGCAACGAAAAGAAAGAAAAGGCATGCAGATTAAAACCATCTGGATTACCAGACGACATCACTGTATAGGCACACATGCATCCACACACGTCTCTCCAAAAATCAGTAAGAATGCTCTTAGAACTAATAAGTGAATTTGGTAAGATCACAATATACAAGGCCAACATGGAAAAAGCAGTTGTATTTTTATATACTAGCAGTAAACAACCAGAAATTGAAATTAAGCAGCACTAGGTATAACAGCCCTCAAACCATGAAACACTTGAGTATAAATCTAAAAAAGTACAAGATCTATATAGTAAAAGCTACAAACAACTAATGAAAAGAATGAAAGAAGACCTAAATAAATGGGGAGACATACCATGTTCATGATTGACAGACTCGGTATTGTTAAGATGACAAGTCTCCCAAATTATGTATAGATTTAGACCCAGTCAAAAATCCTAGCAGGACTTTTGTTTTTTTCCCTTTTGTGACAGAGTCTTGCTCTGTCGCCAGGGGCCAGGCTGGAGTACAGTGGCACTGGCTCGACTCACTGCAACCTCCGCCTCCTAGGTTCAAGCAATGCTCCTGCCTCAGCCTCCCAAGTAGCCCAGATTACAGGCGTGCGCCACCACGCCCAGCTAATTTTTGTAGTTTTTAGTAGAGACGGGGTTTCACCATGTTGACCAGGATGGTCTCGATCTCTTGACCTTGTGATCCGCCCGCCTCGGCCTCCCAAAGTGCTGGGATTACAGGTGTGAGCCACCGCGACCGGCCCCCAGCAGGAATTTTTGGGTCCAAATCAACAAAGCCAACATTTAAAAGGAAAAGTCAAAGAAATCAGAATTGTAATTTTGAACAAAAGAGCAAAGTGGGAAGACTCAGACTCCTGGGTCTCAAGACTTACTATGTATCTAATCAACACAGCATGGTACAGATACAAAAAATACATGAATAGAGAAATGGAACAGAATTGAGAGCCTAGATATAGGCCCACACAAAAATGGCCAGTTGATGTTTGACCAAAGTGCAAAGGTCATACAATAAAGAACAGCCTTTTCAACAAATGCTGCTGGAACAATTAGACATCCCTATGCAAAAGTAATGAATCTCAATCTATACCTTACACTATATAAAAAAAAGAACCCAAAATGGACCGTAGTCATAAATGTAAAACCTAAAATTATAAAATTTCTAGAAGAAAACATAGAAGAAAATCTTTGTGAATTTGGGTCAAAGTTTTATTAATTATAACATCAAAAGGATGGCCCACAAAAGAAAAAAAATGGGTCAACTGGACTTCTTCAAAAGCAAAAACACTCACTCTTTAAAAGATAACTGAATGAAATGGAGAAAAAGGCACAGACTGGATGAAAATATTTGAAAAACACATTTCTGATAAAGGACT